AAAAAATAAAATAAATAAAAATTAGTTGTATTTATTTTTAAAGGTAATACATGTATATGGCTAAAAATCCAAGGGCAGAATAGAATTGATTTCTGGAGTGAAGAGGACAGCAGAAACTCACCACTGATTTCTTTCTTTTCAGAAATCACCCTACATCAGGAAGGAAAGTGAAAAACAGACATGCAAACTCCACTGAACAACTGACAAATGAAAGGTGGAGCCAGAGGGGGTGGAAAGAACACTGCGGCACAGAGTGGCAAAGGGATGCCCTCTCTACTGTGCCCTCACTCCCAGTGCCGCCCTCCCCAGAAAAGTAATGGTATCTATCCATAACACGTACTTGTTACTTGTGTATCCGGGAGAGTCCTACACTCTTTTTTTTTTTTTCAACGTTTTTTATTTATTTTTGGGACAGAGAGAAACAGAGCATGAACGGGGGAGGGGCAGAGAGAGAGGGAGACACAGCATCGGAAACAGGCTCCAGGCTCCGAGCCATCAGCCCAGAGCCCGACGCGGGGCTCGAACTCACGGACCGCGAGATCGTGACCTGGCTGAAGTCGGACGCTTAACCGACTGCGCCACCCAGGCGCCCCTCTTTTTTTTTTTTTTTTTAATTGAGGTATATCAGGGCACCTGGGTGGTTCAGTCAGTTGAGTGACTCACTCTTGATTTCTGCTCAGGTCATGATCCCAGGATTGTAGGATTGAACCCCGTGTCAGGCTCCACACTGAGCACACAGCCTGCTTAAGATCCTTTCTCAGGGTGCCTGGGTAGCTCAGTCGGTTAAGCATCCAACTGCAGCTCAGGTCATGATCTTATGGTTCATGAGTTCGAGCCCCAAATAGTGCAGAGCCTGCTTGGGATTCTCTCTCTCCCTCTCTCTCTGCCCCTCCCCTGCTCGCTCTCTCTCAAAAAATAAACTTTAAAAAAGAGAAAAAAGATTCTCTCTCTCTCCCGCTGCCCCTCTCTTCCACTTGCATTCTTTCTCTAAAATAAAAAAAATACAAATAAACGAGGTATAATTGACATATAATGTTGTATTAGCTTATAGCACACATTACAGCATTACAAAATAATGATTTGATGTTTTGTATATATTGTGAAACTGTCTACACTCTTACATCAAGAATTCTGCCCAATATCAATCACTAACAACACTTAAACCCAAACCCCAAATCCTACAAATATCCACTCCTGACCTATCTCTTGTGAGGTATTATTAAGAGTGCTGCAGTGGGAGACTGCCTCACTGTGATGAGTATTAAATTTTGCTCTGATTGACCAACAGATTATTCAGGTGACCATTTGAGGCAGTCTATGCTGCAAAGGCAGCAGGTAAGTGAGTGGCTTAAGGTTATGGAGGAGCAGAGCCAGATGCTGGTCCAGGCCTTCTGACACCAAGTCTAGTAGCTTACGTTAGAATTAAGTGGACCCTGAGGATCACCTCCTGCAATCTTTAAATTCCTGGAAAATCAGGGATTTAAATAATTAACCTGTTTACACAGCCTGGTCTTGAGATACCTTAGATCAGGGATTTGTTTTGTATTATTTTCCCCAAATATTTGTTATTTTTAAAAGTTATTTCTAAGACACTAATATTTCATGGTATCTTCTTAAATCACACTGGATTTAAAGTTTATGTGACTTATCTCTCTGTGCACCCAAATCAGCACAAATGCCCACCTGTTGCCAAAATGATTTGGCTGAGGTCTTCTTTCTGTGTCTTCCTATAACCTTCTGCCTACCTCCCTGAAGAGGAACCTCTTAGATGAAACTAAGGACAATAAGGCTATGAAAATAGAAGACTAGGAAAATCGAGAGTGACAGAGCACTAAAACAAGTCTCTGCTGCACTTCTTTTCTGTTGTATCAAGGCAGACCCATCCATTAAGATACAGAATCTGTACCTCCTTGTCCTTTCCTTCTTTCAAAGCCTCCTTCCAAAATGCAAAGGATCATGGGAGTGGCCATTTTTCCCCCCAGCTTTACTGAGGGATACTTGACAAATAACGTTGTGTAAATATAAGGTATACAACATGATTCGACGTACATATATATCGTGCAGTGATCGCCACCAATAAAGTTAGTTAGCACATTCATCTGCTCCCATAATATAGGGTAGGCCTACTTAATGGCTTACCCTGAAGTGACTGCAAATGTTTTCCTTTTCTTTCTTTTTAATTTCTCTTGTCCCTTCTTCTTTGTTTTTCTTTCCATTTGTTGTTCTTGTTCATTGAAAAATAGCATAGAAAAATGCCCATGGACCCATAGGTATTGACCCAATCAGTTCTTGACCTTCTTACATTATAATGCAGGTACAATATATTATTATTATCATCATCATCATCATTACTACTACTATACAATTAATGAAAAAAGGTAAATACACCCAAAGAAACTGTCAGTTTGACATCTCGCCCTTAATTCTTGCAGAGACTAATGTAGCACCAACAAGGAAAACATTTTCACAGAAAAAGAGCTAAATGGCTTTTCTAAAGATCAAATTTGTATTCTTAAAAAAGTCTTCATTTTTTTCTAATTGTAGCCTCTTATTCCTGAGATTGACCAAGTAGCAGCTCTGGCAGCCTACAGTTGCCTCTCAGTTTGTAATATGCTAGGCTGTAGTAAAATGCTACTGGGTCTAGGTGTTCCTCAAATTACACAATTATTAGGCAAGACTGAAGGCGTCCCTATTCCCTAATAGTCTTAAAAATTTGGCTCAGGTAACTCCACAAATATTCTCTTTTTAAAACCACTTCTGCACATTTAAAAATCAACAGCTAAATCCCTCCCTGCAATGTTATTTAGTGGTAAAGGATGTGATTTCTAGCACGATTACATCTGTGCTTTAATATGACTCTGAGAAAACACCAGAGAGTTCTATCCATCCAATAAATTCACTTTTATGATATTGGGCACCATGACGTCAGCTTTCATTATCAAGCAGATGAGCCAAATCTGTCAGAAAAAGTCTGACTTTATTTTTCAACTCCTATAACATGTTATTATTATTATTATTATCATTGCTACTATATGATGAGTGAAAAAAGGTAAGTGCACCCAAAGAAACTATCAGTTTGACGTATTGACCTTAATTCTTGTAATGTCTGTGTTATTTCTAAGGCCTAACCCTAAGGTAGATGAATTCTTGGAAGGAGGTTTTCCAAAAACTTGTCACCTAGATAGACAATAAGCTGTTGCCCAATGGGATCCCCTTTCTGGAGAAACTTGCGTGGGAATAGTCACTGTGTTTGGCAACCCAGATCAATACGCACCATAGCTTCACCTTCCTTGTGCATGAATTACAGTCTCACTGTGTTTTGTGTGTGTGTGTGTGTGTGTGTGGTTTTTTTTTTTTTTTTTTTTGTAAACTTGGAGCAGGTGAATAAGGAAAAGGTAGTGGAAAAGAAAAACTGGAAGACCAAATTTAAGAAAATTCACAGAGAGGTGAGGCTCTGGAAGTGACTTCTTCCAGGGATGCCTGTCTGCCTGTGCTCTGAAGTCTCTGGGAGCTCCAGGGTACATTCAAGAAGGTAGTTACTCTGGGTAGGTGAGTAATGTCATTTTGGTTCCTAATTTGGTAAGTAGACTCTGAATACAGGCTCAGAGTATTACAATCCCCTCGTGGGTCCTTTGGATTGGAGGCTGAATTCTCTTCCCCGTCAGTGCATGGCATGGTCTGTCTTGTGTGAACAGAGGAGCATCTTCAAGACGTTAGGGATTGATCCTGCCAGGAATTCATCTAGTATAGTAGTTACAGCTTGATAAAGACCCTGGAGTACCATGCAGCATTCAAGGCTGGCCCCCCATGACGTTATCTGATGGCAATGCCAGGGTTGAGCCAATTGGACTCAAACTGAAATTGGGACGCAGGTTGTTAGAGATTTGCTGAGAAAGCTTCCCTTTCTCTATTTCAACCAGACCTTTTATGATCATCTCATCATATTTTGTGGTGATAATACATAATAAGCCCAGAAATGATTGTTCTCCTCTCATAAAAGGCACTGCAGCACATACTCATATCTGCACACGAACTGTCAGCAGATAAAAGATTGAATACCAGAATACTGTCTTGACTAGTTACTAGGATTGTTTTTGGCACACAAATTTCAAGTACTGTTAAAAACTCAAAATAGTGTCTCAAACCATATATATTAGCCTTATTTCCTCATTACAGTCATCCAAGTTGTGATATATACACTCTGGCAAAAACTCCTTTAATGACCATTCCTAGAACCAAGGTAGACTAGAAGACAGTCTAACTCCTTCCTCTCAGCATAAGTTGGAAAGGGTCTTCCCAGTATAAATTCATCCATTCACCTTGTCAGCCATTCTCCTTCTAGCCTCCAGTATTTAGTTGTATTGTTACATGAGTCTGTGTAATATGTGCACCATAAATAGCATTCCGAATGCTCATGCATTGTTATAAAGATCATGCTCTTTCACGTTATGACACAGTCTTGTAAAATACTCTTAAGTAGCTAGCCTGATTTTCCTTTCTGATACTTCATCAAGGCAGGTTTAAGAAACCACTGTTGAAATTACACATTTTCTTAAGCATTTTAAAATGGATATGCTTTTGATTCTTATAGGTTTTAAATACATTTACTCTTAATAGGTTAATAAATCATAATTACTTCTAAAAAGCTTACCATTTCCCCCTTAGATTGTGATTTGTCCTTTATATATCACAAAAGAAATAAAACATGGAAGAATAAAAGTAAGTTATGGTCATCTTTTTGTAAATGTTTATACTTAACGATTTATGTGTATGGGCATGAAAAGAAAAATGCATGACTGAGCTAATAAAATATTATTTTTCCAGGAAATATATAAATGATGTATTTGACATTATTTGTAACTACATAGTTACCCAGGCCTACTTTCTAGCAGAAAGTGTGTATTGATACTCAGAAAATTAGTTCATTAAAGAGAAAAGAGTTTTTTTGCTGAATATAATCCCACTAGGGTTAAATATGTATCAGTGTTTAATGGTGTTACCTTAAGATTTTAGTGACTGCAGTCTCTTTTTCTAGAAGATTCCTTGCCCTGATGCTGAAGACAGACTTGCGAAGCTGAAAAATTGTAAGTGTGGGTTATTAGTTTTGGAATGTGAAGGGATAATATACTGACAAATCATTACATACATTATATAGAGAACAGTATTAAAACATCAAACATAATTTTTTTTTACTGACGCATCATTATATGAGTGATTCTATTCTTTAATTTTACCTTCTATTTTTACTTTTATTTGGGCAGAAATGCAAACAAGCTTGTGAGGCCACACGTCACAACTATGGTGGTGATACACTGGCTGTGCTCATTAGTAATAATGTCTTACATCTGAATAGGCTTTTCAGTATCCAGAGAATGTAGCGTTGAGACAAATATTGGACTGCTTCTTGCTATCATCCAGCAAACTGTTCTCTAATCCACTTTACACCTGTTTCAGGTTCTTTTATTTTTTTTAATGTTTATTTATTTTGACACACACACACACACACACACACACACACACACACATGCACAAAGTGTAAACAGGGGAGGGGCAGAGAGAGAGGGAGACACAGAATCCAAAGCAGGTTTCAGGCTCCAAGCTGTCAGCACACAGCCTAACATGGGGCTCGAACCCATGAACTGTGAGATCAGGACCTGAACCAAAGTCAGATGGTTAACTGACTGAGCCACCCAGGCATCCCCTGTTTTAGGGTCTTAGCCTGTGACTTGGTACTAATCTGAATGATGAGTTCAGAAGTTGCTTTGTCCACTGACATGGAGACAAATGAGATGAGCTTTCAAGGTTGCTTCCTAGTTGGCAATGATGAAATTATTCCAGGGAAAAGCGCTAAGATAAACAAAATCCTGGAGGCTGCCTATAAACCAGAAGATTCCTCAAACTCAGCTCTGTCCTGCCTGATAGTTGCAGAAGTCAGAGGGGTGACAGGTGCGCAGGAAACTCAAGTGGGCAATCAGAGGGCAGAGAAAGAACAGGGAAGCATGCCGATCTAGGCAGATTCATAATAACAAATAACTAGGAAGGGTAACTCCAATAGTCAGACCAGAGATAACACTTGGACAACGTCCTGCTCATCTTTTTTGTTTTTTTTTCATCTTTTTAAACATTTATTAATTTTCAAGAGACAGAGAGAGGCAGAGTGCGAGTGGGGGAGGGGCAGAGAGAGAGGGAGACACAGAATCCGAAGCAGGCTCCAGGCTCTGAGCTGTCAGCGCAGAACCCGACACGGGGCTCAAACCCACCAACTGTAAGATCATGATCTGAGCTGAAGTCAGACAACCACCTGACTGAGCCACCCAGGTGCCCCACGACCTACTCATCTTGATCAGTAGATCAGGTTAGATTTTCTAAGCACTTAGTATGATATTAGTGGCTATTAGAGATACAGCTTACCCACAAATCAGAATTGTTTACCTGAATCGAAAAGCCTAGTTACAAAGGCAAGGCTATGATGCATGAGGTTACCAATAAAAAGTAGACAGTAAGGTGCTGGCTGCTGTGTCCAGCAGAAAAGATGAGAAGGCTGCATGACTTCGGGTGGGCACAAATAGCTGTATCTGAAATAGCAAAGATGTCACTGAAGAAGTGGACACTGCACTAGGCCTTGAAGGATGGTTCAGATTTTCATAGCAAAGGAGGCTGTGGGCAAAGGACTGCAGTTGGAAATGCATGCGTGGGGCAAAGAGATCCAGCGCAGATGATATGCTTCCATGCTGAGCTCGGTGGAAGAAACACTGTAAGGCATACTGTGTTTCCAACAGATTTGAGGGAGGAAAAAAAATGAGCAGGAGACAGAACAACTCTGTATCCAGTACAAACAGACTGTCTAATTTCTTTTAAACAACATAGTGACTTCAGGTACAAAGTCACAGAGCTCCATTCTACAACAAACAAGCCTATAAACAAATACTGTACTGTCGACCGACATGTCCATATGGCCACAGCTGGAGAGGAAGTGACAGGCACAAACTGGTCTTTTCAGCCACACCTGACAACCTAGATAACACCATATCCAGCAATATAATTTTTGTATTTCAAGAGAAAGATCATTGAACACATTGGCAATTTCCCTCATATGAAGAAAGATGGAGCACTCTTATATTTTCAATAATGAAAAACTGAATTGGTTTTTTTTACTCATCAGAACTCATGGAAGAATAAGTTAATGTACACACAAGGAAATAAGGGTGGATGCCATTTTTTTCAGAAGTTACATTTTTAGGGTAGTGCACGGAAGGCTGTTTACCATGATGGATCCTAAAACTTTCTTAAATCTCCTCCCCTCCCCTTGTGAGGTGACTTTGGGCATGGATTTAACCTCCTAGAGCTGACAGCCTATCTCCCAAGGAATGTTATTTAAAGTCATTTGCAGAGACAGAAGGGTCTCATCATGGTGGTGTTTTTGCCCTTTGGTTCCTAAGCACACATATTGTCATGGGAAAGGCCCGGGCTACGGAGGCCCCAAGACTGCAGGTTTGGGGAGAGGTCTGGACCCCACTCCCCTTATTTCATCTCTGAAGGACACTGACATGCCTTAGTCATCTTCCCCTTAGTGAAGGTGATGGTCTGAATTCAGTCACCTACCTACTGCCCTGTAATTGAGCAGCTGACACTTAACACAGAGTTCTTCATGTTAGAAAAATACCTTTGCAGAAACTGGGGATAATATTTATTATATTGATTCCAAAATTATTTCTGTGCCGTCTAAGATTGCTAAAGGGCTGCTGGATCTCCTTTGTCCTAAACCCGAACTAGTTAAAGTAAAATACACAATTAATCTGTACGAGGAACTTCCTGAGAACTGATTTTATAACAGCAGAGGTAGCAAAAGAATAAATACTCTAATAGAAGAACTTCAGATTCAGCCTCAGGATCTGCTGATTGATCGATTGGCTGATTTTTTAAGTAAGCTCTATGCCCAACATAGGGCTCAAACTCATGACCCCGAGATCAAGAGTCCCATGCTGCACACACTGAGCCAGCCAGCCAGCCAGCCAGCTACCTCTAGCTTCAGGATGTTTTAAAAGAAGAAACATTGACATCTACATCTATCTGTCATCTATCTATATCTAAACATATATGATAGCCCAGATATGTATTTAGTTATATATTTTAACGGTTCTTTTTTTCTAGTAAATAAAGAAAGTCTATAGTGATTATCTAGTACCCCTCCCCTTTTCATTATTTCTGTAGTAGAGCTTTGCACATTTTTTTTTTTTTTCTGCAAAGGACACTGTCTGCTAGTCCCAAGTACTCAGAGCTATGCTGCTCTGCAGTGCCCTCTTCTGGCTCCAAAAGATACTGACAGTCACCTGAAATGATCAAAATAAGGAATACAGAAATCAATTTCAGGATAAGTAATTTTAGACCTGAAGTTTAAATTACAGGTAAGGCAGGTGCCAGTAAATGTTTCTTCTGGATGTAAACACATCAGACATGTAGGACTTAAAGGGAAGGGTATGGATGACATTACATGGAGTCTGCACTGAAGAAAATAAAAGATTAGTTGAAAAAGCCCTTTTTGGTGGTTTTCTTTTGTTTGTAAATCTAATACATCCAACTCCAGAAGACAAACATTCTCTGACTGAATTATCAAAAATACATTTAAACATTCAAACAAGAGACACCTGGGTGGCTCAGTCAGTTGAGTATCCAACTCTTGATTTCGGCACAGGTCGTGGTCTTAGGGTTTGTGAGTTCGAGCCCCACATTGGGCTCTGCACTGCACTGACGGTGTGGAGCCTGCTTGGGATTCTCTCTCTCTCCCTCTCTTTTTCTGCCCCTCTTGTGCATGCACTCTTTCTTTCTCTCAAAATAAATAAACTTAACAAAAATTAAATGTTCAAGCAGCACAGAGATTTTTTTTGTCTTAAAATTTTAATTTAAAAGGTATTTTCAGAACTATGCACTTTAACGTGAAATTCAGGAGGTTCAAATTTGCAGTTATTTGTGGTTGAATAATTCGGAGCTGAAGGACACAGCAATGGATGGATCTCGCTGATTTTCTGGCAATTTCTTTAACATCTTTTAATCTACAGGTACACCTCCTGCCTGCCGCCCCCCTCCCCCAACCATAGTTGAAGGACCGGGGGCATGTCACCTGGAGCTTCCAGGAGTGTGGATTTTCCCAAGTGCACATTCATGCCATAGTTCACATGCTCCTCTGTCTTCTATACCTCTTGCAAATTGGTAGTTGGACCCAGAGTCTCATCTGGCTCATACTTGATGGTTTTGGCAAGACCACAGGTGGTGGTGTAGCTTTTCATCAGAAGGCACACAATGTCTGATTGTTCCTCTTTTTGTGATGTTAGTAGTATTGATGTCTATTGCTTAGATCATTGATTCATTCAGTTTCTAAAATTGACATTTCTTTCTCATTTATTAGTTGGAACACCTTTATAATGAAGTACTTCCTCTCATGCACTATTTGGTTACTCATTAGTACAGTTCATATGGAAAAGGCAAAGTAAATGTTGATTCTTTACCTTTACTTATTCATTTTTTATGTAATTAATTGGTTTTCTATCATCCTCTGAAGGTGACCAATTAGTTGTTTCAAAATGTCATTATTGGGGCACCTGGGTGGCTCCATCGGTTAAGCGTCCAACTTCGGCTCAGGGCATGATCTCGCAGTTTTTGAGTTCGAGCCCCGCATCGGGCTCTGTGCTGACAGCTCAGAGCCTGGAGCCTGCCTCAGATTCTGTGTCTCCCTTTCCCTCTGCCCCTCCCCTGCTCATGCTCTGACTCTGTCTGACTTTCAATAATAAATAAACATTAAATTTTTTTTTTAAATAAAAAAATAAAAATGTCATTATTGACTTAAGGACTTAAATATATTTGGTTTCAATCCATTACAATTATCCTCATGTGAAGTCAAAGAGCATTGGGAGATTTTTCAAAATGGCTCATGGGTTCTTTTGGCCTGACTTTAATAGTCTTTGTCTAAGCTTCCTTGTTATTAGTATGGCCAGATATCCCTAGCTCATCTTGTATATGCCTCCTATTCCAAATTACCATTTTTCTCCAAAAAGCCTTGGTTCATTTATTGAGAAATGG